ATAATAATAAACAATCTTAATTATTCATAAACAAGCGGGGCGTTACAATCACCAGGGCGAAAAATCGAGAGAGGAACAGCTTCAAGTGCGGAAGGCAAGATCTCAACCGAATCAGAGGAGGTGGTCGAGGTAGCAGGATCTGAAAACAAAAGAAGAGAGAAACAATATCAAAAAAGAGGAGAAGGGTAGGAGGAGAAGGTTTTAAAAAATTAGGGTTCCACCAAAAGGGGCTATTTTGAAGAAAGGGAACAGAGATTCCGAAAGGATTTCAAAGGGGAAGAGCGAAATCTATAGCGATCAACAGACAAACACGAAAATTCGATGCACAGATTCAAAACACTCAATCAGCAAACTTCAGATACCCAATTCGAAAAAGAAAAGAGAGAAAAAATTTCTCAAAACACAAAAGCCCAGATACAGGAAATATAAAATCAGGAGAAAAACAACTTACTCATAATCACGGAGGAGAGAATCAGGAAAAACTTGGAGATTGCAGGAAAAATCGCCGACGGAAGCTAGGATTTTCTGTAGAGAGAACTTTGAATGCAAAGGAATTTGGGAGAGATGAAGGTGGAAAAAGTCTGAAATTCTGCTAAGTACCGGTTTTATACCTGGGAGAGTTTAAGGGGTGAAAGAGGAGGACCGTCAGATTAAAGTTGGATCGTGCGGCGGAAAAATTAAATTGCACGGTACTCCAAGTGGGCACGTTATGCGAGGGGACGCCATCATTAAAGTACCTGACACACGCGAACAGGCGTGACGCGTGGCGAAAAAGCAGAAGCGACAGGAAGGACTTGAAACAGACGACTTTATTACTAGCAATTAATGGGGAATTATTTGAAAATGTGAGCGGGAAACCTATTATCCGGTCGATATTGAATGACGAATCATCGGGGAGGTCGATAAATACCAATTCACTCTTAGATCGAGTCGTCCAGACTCGACCAGAGTGGGGGGGACTAGATGATATGGGAAATTATATACACAAAGCTAAACCGGTCTTCTGGGCCGGTTGAGAAGAGTAGACCGGGAGCAAACCAAGCCGAAAGGCGGGAATCCAAGCGATCGAGCAGCCTAAGGCTCGACCACACAAGCGATCGAGCAGCCCAAGGCTCGACTGCACAGGCGATCGAGTAGCCTGATGCTCGATCAGAATTATCGAGCTACCCATCAATCGATCAGATGAGTGATCGAACAAAGCTGAGCGATCGAGCAAGCTGATCGATATAAGCCCAGACGCGTGTATAGCAGACGTGCGTGAGGGTCTCTGACTAAGCTTCAGGAGAATATTTACCCCATGTGCAGGGTGGACACGTGTCGATAATGTATTGGGTGATAGCGATAACCACCTCTGACAGCTCCCAACGTCCCGCGGCACCTCTGACATGTGCGCGGCGTGTCAGAGTACGGACGGGCAGCTTGGGCAGCCCACGTAGCCTTATCCGGGCAGCTATTAGGGCAGGTATCTCACCCCTATATAAAGGGGGGTGAGCCTTTCTTTCTGGACATTCTATTCATTCTCTAAATTCCAGTATACTCATACACATACTGACTTAAGCATCAGAGGCTCTTCACCGAACCCAACCCCCGGTGTGAGAGTTATTTTCAGATTTCCGGCGTTCTACCGACAAGGACAAGAATCGATCTACTCCAAACCGGACCCGGACGCTTACACTTGCATTATATTTATTATATCCAATTACGTGGTATGATTTAGTTATTTTATAACAATATGCGGGTCTTATAGATGACACACATCATTTTAAGTAAATATAATAATGCAATTTAATTAAAAAAAAATTAAATTTTAGCATAGAAATTATATTCATTTTCAAATTATTTTTCTTAGATTTTTTTATTTAATTAAAAATATTTTGATGATCCCAAAGAGATTCGTTTTGCTAAAATTATACGAAGTGCTGCACTTGTTTTTGCTATTTAAATAAATACTAGTATTAATACCCATGTAAGGGTGTTGAGATGTTGAGTTATATATGTGTAAAGTTATTTAGGTCTAATACCAAACCTAACTCTAGAGCAAAAATAATATAAAAACAACATCACGAAGTATAGATTTTCGCGACGTCAGAATCCGAAGCGTGAGAATCTGCCACATAAACTCAACATTGAATGGTATACGAAGACCGAAGAGAAAGAGAAGAAAACCCCGGTGGACCAAGTCCCACGTTCCAGCTCGCGCGTGAGTCGGTTACAAATCGCAACTCTCGCGCGCTCCCCACTTTCCCTATTCGCCCACAAACTCCTCCTCCTCCTCCATTTAAAAGGCGCTCGAATAGAAAATAAAAATAAAGAAAAACCCTGACGACAATGGGTACGTGTGTGAAGCCGGAACAAAGAAAACGCCCTCGAGAAATCATCCCTCTAAGCAGCAGCAGCAGCGGCGATTTGTCCGTTTCCAGTTCCGAATCCTACAAGCAAAAGAAGGCCATAACCGGAGCGGTTTTGCCCGTCGGGTTTCTCGACCCATTGAGTACTCCCGGCGGCGTTTCGAATTATTCTATGGACGTTGGCGTTGTGAAGGAGGAGGAGGAGGGTCATAATAATAGCCTTGTCATTGAACTGAAATCCAGACCGATTGCTGCTACTGCTACTACTACTAGTGCTGCTTTGGCCGTCTCTTCAGGGTGCAGGCAGTTCTGGAAAGCAGGGGACTACGAGACTTCTTCCTCTTGCGGCGGTCAAGTTTCTCTTGGTACCTTCTTGATCGCGATTACTTTTGCTTATTATGCACACTTTTACGTCTTTCAAGGAGGAAATTACTACATCAACTGTATTTAATTTTATATCAATATCAATATTGCCTGTTTATCATGATTTTTTGCTTTGTTGCTCTACTAGGACAACATGAAACTGAGCATGAAACTGTTATACTTTTTATTTATTTTGTAGCCGACATGGATCATGTCAGAGTTCATCCTAGGTTCTTGCATTCCAATGCCACCAGCCATAAATGGGCTTTGGGAGGTAAAGAAAGAAGACTTCTTCTTCTTTTTTTTTT